TGTGAATGCAAATTGGTTGTTCACAGTTCTAATACAATTTCGAAATAACTTCGCTTCTTCTGTTGATGAATAAAGAAGTTCTTTCAATATGTTTGGTGTTGGGTTATTTGCTAATCTTATATTACCATTTGAACAACAAAAATTATTTGTTTCATGGGGAAACTTCAAGGCATTACAATACTGACAATTTTTTTTTTTTAGACAAAATTGAAGGTTGACTTTGGATGTTATCTAAAATCTGACGATAGTTTACGTCGGAAGAGGACACATTCTGTAAAGCAGATGGCTGATTAAGCTTTTTATTTCTCCATTTTTCAATAGCAATTTGTCTGTATTTTTTTTTTTTGGGGGATTAGGTTTTCTGAATGCATATATGTATAGGAATTAATTGAGGTTTCCCCGCAAGCTTTTGTTTGATGGTTAGACAACATAGTTACATTTTCTAATGTTGAATGTTTTCTTTTATTTTTCTTAGTTTTCCATCTTTCAATTGCAATTTCTCTACTTCTCTTCTTATTAGGTGAGGGTGAATTAAGGTCGTCGCTGGTTTTTCCAAACATAGTGTCTATATGATCTGAATATACAAAAGGAAAAGGTCAAAGAAAAGGACATATATAATTAGCAATGGCACAATAAACAACACACCAAAAGATATTTATATGTTGAATATATGCCTTCATATGAACTATCATTATAAACAAAAGACAAAATTTAAGTACACAGATTTGTCAAAATAGACCACAACCTACAAAAATACCTATTCAATATATTTCATTTAATCACGTAGGGCAAAAATACAGAACAAAGTTAACAAAGCATATAGAGAACACTTGTCACAATACAATGAGTGTAGGAACAAAATTTACCTGATGCAAATGCTGCTAATCCAGTACTTCTAAGCAAAGGCGGGCAGTAATTAAGTAACAAATCTAGAAAGTAGCTGCAAAATCAAAAATAAAATCCATTAGAGAGATTCTAAAATCCTCCTGGACTTGAAATAATTTCATAGAAAAGGGATTTTTTTTTGTATTTTGCAAGCACTTTCTATAAAAATTAATGGAAGCTGCTAACAAAACAACACAACTGTGTTCATTCTTGTTTGTAAGAAGTAAAAAAGATCACCACAATAACAAACCAGACTAAATTCTAAAACCACATCTATGTAATAATTTAAGATTAATTAACATTTTTTGATGGTCAATATCCATTTTTTATTAAAACTAATAGAAACAACTAACACAACAACAAAAGTGTGTTGATCCTTGTCTGTAAGAATAAAAAAGTAATTATTACAATTCAAATAAACAGTGAATAACTTGTTATAAATATCACAAGAAACTTTCTTACCAAAAATTACTCAACACAATTAAAATAAAAAGTATAGAACTTGTTATAAGAATGTCAGGGAACTTTTATATCTTTTTCTAGCAACATTTACGTTTTTTTTTATGAATAAATAAAACTTAATAATAAACACATGTATCT